TTCGACCAGCACCTTGCCTCTCCAAAGCATCCCACACATTTTAAATGGGGTTTAGATCTGGAGAACGCGCTGGCCATACGAGACGTTGAATACCCTCGCTGACTAGACAATTCTGAACATAGAGTGTTCGATGACATGTTGCGTCGTCGTCCATAAAAACAAATTTATCACCGACAGCACCACGGAAAAGACGAACATGAGGAAGTAGGACTTCATCAATGTATCGTAGGCCCGTTGTAATGTATCGTATCCCATTCGCAAGCACATGTAGGCGCGTGCGGGCATTGATCATGATGCCGGCCCGCACCATGATACTGCATATCGGATATCGGTCCTTTTTCTGGATATTTTCTGGACAATAAGCAGTACCACTCTCGCGCCAGATCAGTTGGCGTCTACAATCCGATGACAGACTGAACCTACTCTCATCTGAGAATAGTACGCATGCCCAGTCCTGTTCAGTCCAATTGTGATGCTCACGACACCATTGCAAATTGGCAGTACGTTGCTGTCTGGTCAATGGGTCACACACACAGGTCTGCGTGCGTATAGTCCTCCTTCCTCAAACGTCTGGCAACAGTTTTTCGGGAGATCTGCTTTCCTGAGGCAGCAAGAAACTGATTTGCCCCTACTGAGCTGTGGTGCGCCTGTTCCTTTTCGCTGATAGGACGATATATCTGTCTTCTGCAGGCGTCGTACTTCAAACACGAACTCCCTCGTGCCGTCTACTAGACATTCCAGTAGTTTTAAATGACTTCCCCAGCCGTGAAACAACGCTGTGAGCGATGTCGAACTCCCCTGGCAACATCTGTTATTTTTCGCTTTTCTTCGATCTTTCCAATAATTCTGCCACGCATAAAATCATCTATGTGATGTCAGGAAGACATGCCAAAAATTTTAAGTTCGTCTAATAAATCTTTCCTGTAAAACTTTGACTTGAAACAACAACTGTCCACACGCGTCAAAACCTTTAAAGCTCTTATGAACGCTATCACGTGATGAACAGACGTGGGAAAAAAATTTGCATACTCATACTTCTTACTAATATCCCGCACTTATTCTAATTTTCCACATTTTGCTTCCTTTCATTTTGTGGTTGCTATGGATGATAGTGTTTTTCGTCCTTAGCAATTGTCCAGCAGTGTATTTGTGTATATGTATATATATGTATAAATTTATATATATGTGTATGTATATGTATATGATTATATATTTAAAAAATTCTTTTATATTGGATATATATATATATATATATATATATATATATATATATATATATATAAAACTCTATAGATTTCAGAATAAGGAAAAGATAAAATGGAAAAATAATCTCAGTTTATTAGCTTAAATGTAATAAGACTTGTAAAGAAAATATATAAGAACAAAAATTTAGACATTTATTGTTAAGCTTAATAAAATCTGAATGCTAGCAAAAATAACAACAAATAGATTTCTCTATTTGTTTGCTTTATTTTTATAGGAAATAACGTTCTTAGTTTGTTCATCTTATTTTGTTTCATATAACAAAATAAAGACTATGCTTACCAAAGTATTGCTTTCTTTTTAGACAATTAAGCATTGACAAAATGAATATTTAAATCATTTACTGAACTTGTGATTACATTAGATGTATCAATGCTTTTGCATTTTGCTACATTTTGACACAATTTGTGTCGCAGTATATGTGTGCCAAACGTTTATTTGTTAAACCTCTAGAAATAGAGAGACACAAAAGAAGTATTTTTTATTGAAGATTTGCTGTATAATAATTGATTATGATTTTGTTCTTGACAAAACGATGAAAACAACGCACAGAAAATGAAGAGACATTTATAGTTTTTTATATAAAATGAAATTTGAAAGCATGAAATATATGTGGCAAAAAAGTTATCAATATTTTCTTCGAATTTTTTCCATTATTTATGCCTTTAAATAATATTTTCTTCCATATACCAGTTGCTGAGTAAGAAAGGCTTTGAACACACACGTATCTTTTTAATTTCAAGAAGACTGCATAAAATTAAACACAAAAATATTAGTTTTTATATATAAACAATTGATTTTTTAGAAATTAAATGCGCTTTTGATGAAAAAACCCCTTTAATAAAACTAAACTTTAAATATAATTGTTATTAGAGGAAATAATAATTATACTTATCGTATTTTTTATACTTATCGTATTATCGTAACATAATCGTATTTTTTTGTTTTAATTTGTATTATTTTTATATCAAGGTTTATTATTTCAGACATTTTATTAATTAGTTATTATTGAGATACAGGGCTTGTATTTGATTTAAACTTCCCTGTTTTGCTTAATACTTAAAGGCTCACTGGACCCTTAACAGATATCCGAGCACACAAAAGTATCCTTCTTCAAACCAATGTAACTTAGTAATAAAACAAAACAATAATTTGAAATTTTTACCACATGATAATCCTATATGTATACAATATTTCACAAAATTTCAGAGAACATGAGAAAAAATTTAAAAAGTTATAAACATATAAAAATTGAACAATTTAACAAAAATATGAAAATCAGTATTTTAAACCGCGTGGGACTCTGAAGTACAAAATGGATCAAAATTTACAAAAATTAAATTTACCTTTTGAAGTTAAATTAACTTTTAAAAAATTTAGAGAAAAAAGTTTTAAATACAATTATAACGAATATTTTAAAATTTTAAGAAAAAAAATAAAATAAAATAAAAAAGTGTGTGTGTATTTATGTACGCACGTAAGAAGTTATACTTCTTTGACGTTACAAGATTAAAATATTTTTAAAAATCTTGAGCAGAGCAAGCTGGACCAAGGGCAAAAGGCGGTCACGAGCAGAGTTGAATGATACTAACCTTCAGTCAATCGGACGAGCCAAACCCGAGATAATCACGATTTAAATAAATTTAAACACTCCCGCAAAGGGACAATAGGGCCAACAACATGGGGGGATCAACAGACTGTACCTGAAGATGAGTTGAACCAAATGCGACACCTGAGACCCCACATCAAATGTCTCGGTGGGAAGAATCGTTCATGAGAAAATTAAGACATCTGCCTGAAGAGTCCCTGAGTTATGGTCATTTTAAATTAATTACAACATTTAAAACAATTAAATAAAATAGAAGCAGGGTACCCAGCAACTCGAAACTGGGTCTGGTTGTGAGGAAACAGAAAATGAATCTATTCAATCCAGTTCAGAGTCTGTAGTTGCAAATGGGGCGTTGCTAGCTCAGAAAAAGGAAACGAAACTAACTTCCCCCGGTGGTTACAACTGTGAAGTAAATGATCACGTACATCACAGTGACATACAGAGTAGTAAGTGATCCCAAAGTTTCATCCTTCTATCTCTGTAATATCGTTACGTCATCAAAAAATTGAACCCCTTAGGAATAACATTGGGATAATAATTTTAGTGATAACGCCCCGCCTAAGCCCACTGTCTACACAGGAATGGTAATATATGAAACAGCTCATCGAGGAGAACCTATGAAACGAGTTTCATTAACGAATCTCAAAAATCCTCGGAACTATGCGGGATTAAAAAAAAATATAATTTTAAAATAATTTAAAAATGTTAAATATAGGTGAAGAAATGGGGCTATGGTCCTGAAAAAATATATCTAGGGTTCTCATAGGAAGAACAATCGAATTCAGCGGATGCTGTCAACCAAGGTGGCATAGGATTCAAGTTATTTCTGGGGAAGCCTGTAAGGGGGGACGGGAGTCAATTCCACTTACAGCTCGCGCTAATACGAAAATGTGACGCGCCACCAAAAATCAAGTTGCAAGCTCATTTGCTTAAAGGGAGTGAAATTTTTTCCAGTCCCCATAGGATTAACATGGGCGCATGATATTTTAGTGTTTAAGCTCTCCCCCTTACACACAATGGGAATGAAGTAGATGGCAGGATGGGTATCAACGAGTGGAACAGTTGGTTAAAATCTCAAGTCCGAGATTCGAACAGGAGACAAGATACTGTGAATTTAAACAAATTAAAAAAGTTTAAGATATCCAACTACATACGGAATCGAGATTTTGCAAAAGCGCACAAATGGATAATTTTCATGAAATTTAGTCTAACTTAGATTAGAATATATGCATAAAAGTGTTTTAAGATCATTTTGACAAAAAATTATTTAAATACAATATTTTGGCAAAAAATTAACTTAGAATAATCTTTTTTCCAAATGTTCTCCTTTTGTGAAAAATGGTTCTATTAGAATAATATTTTGCATATGTGTATAGCTCAGACCTCTCTACTGAGGTTCAACTAGAAATTTTGAAATATATAACTTAGAAGTGAGTTTATTCATATTTTACGACAACAGAGGGGATCAATTATAAGAAAAAAACGCCAATAATTATTTCAATGGATGGTAACTCTGAAAATAATGTGAATGTTTCAAAAATTCTAGTTGTGCCTCTGTAGAAAGGTCTGAGCTATATACAGGCAAAATATTATTATCATAAAACCATTTTCCACAAAAGAACATTTGGAAAAAAGATTATTCTAAGATAGTTTTTTGCCAAAATATTGTATTTAAATCATTTTTTTTGTCAAAATGTCCTTAAAACAAATTTATGCATGTATTCTAATCTGAGTGTGACACTAAATATCACCAAAATTATCAATTTATGCGTTTTTTTTTTATAATCACGGTTCCGAACGTAGTCGGAAACATTAAGACAATTAAAAACTATGGAAGAAATAACCATATGAGCACATGAAATTATAATAACTGGAAGAGCAGATAGAAAGGAATCGAATGAGCCAGGTTCGAATGGACCGTGAGGCTCGGGTGCCCAGATATTGACCAAAAAGCTGTAAAGGGGGAGAATGCACAGGGGGGATGCGTCCCAACAGATATGGCTTATAACAATAGTTTTTATGATCCCCCAAATATCAATCCATCAAGCACTGTCCCATTCTGTATATTTCTAGACAAGGCATTTTCGTATTCGTTCCTTCGGAACGCAAAGCATAGGTTTGCTGACGCGGGGGTATAGCTCAGTGGTCGAGCATTCGACTACAGATCGAGAGGTCTCCAGTTCAAACCTGGGTGCTTCCTTCTTCAGAGAAGAGAACTATTTTTTCTGAGAATTTCGAAGGCGGGAATGGCGTGTCCCATTCTGTATATTTCTAGGCAAAGCATTTTCGTATCCCTTCCTACGGAACGCAAAGCAAAGGTTCGCTGACACGGGATGCATAGCTCAGGGGTAGAGCATTCGTCTGTAGATCGAGAGGTCCCCGGATCAAACCCGATTGCCCCTTCTACAGGGAAGTGAAGGAAATATTTTTTGAGAATTTCGAAGAAGGGAATGATCTATCACATTCTGCAAATTTCCAGACAAAGCATTTTCGTATCCGTTCCTACGGAAAGCAAAGCAAAGGTTCGCTGACGTTGGGGTATAGCTCAGTTTTAGAGCATTCGACTGCAGATCGAGAGGTCCCTGGTTCAAACTTGCGTGTTCCCTTCTTCAGGGAAGTGAAGAGAAGTATTTTACTGAGAATTTCGAAGACGGGAATGATCTGTCCCATTCTGTATATTTCTAGACAAAGCATGTTCGCATCCGGGACGGTGTGCGCACGCGTCGTAAAAATTTACCCTTATCCTTCTTCCCAAACGCCCAATAAGAAGTATAACTTCAAAAATTATATCAACTTTTTTTTAAATATGATGTATTATTTATGAAAAATCTTATTTTGAAAACGTGTATAAAATTTCAAATTGATACCATAAATAGTTTCGTAGAACTCCTGCGCGGAAGCTAAAATTTTTTGTATTGCGAAAAATGAAGTTAAAGATAAAGAAGAGATAGGGTTTTCGTTTAAGTTTCACTACTTATTTCTCAATAACTTCAGAAGTTTTCACAATATCAACACAATTTTGGTACCAAAATGCTTCCAACTATTGAGGCTAAAGCCTATATTTTTTCAAAAAATTAAAAAATTTGTAAATCAATAGTCATGTGAGTTCTTAAAGTTGATTTCGTCCTTTGAAAATTCTATTACATAAGAATGATTTTGCTATTTATAAATCTGATACCTAATTATTAATCACAAGTTAAACATAAAATTGAGGATTCAATTTTTCTCTGGACCAAATAGAGTGTTCGTGGCAATTGAATAATCAGGTGAGAAAGTTTAAAATAATGTACTTTTTTCTTGTATCTCATAATGACGATGAGTTTTGATTTCTTGATAGACCTTTTAGGTGTCCAACTATCCTAAAATCTTGATTTTTTTCAAAGTTTGATAATTTTTTTATGATTTTATTGTATGCGCCATCTTATTAGCTTAATAAAAATACTAATTTTTTTACTTTTCATTCACTAGAACAAAAACTACAAGTGTTTTAGTAAAAGCAGACATTGTAACTTACACAAGATGTCAAACTTTAAAATGCGTTTTACTCGAAATGTGTTATTTTTTTCGAAATGCTCAAACGGGGACAGCGATTGCTCAAAAAGTTTTAAAAATATTTTGCTGAAATTTTTTGTGCATGTTCCGTATAACAATAGAAGTGTTTTGATCTTCAGGATTATCAATCCCTGTTTAGTTTCAAAATTTATGGTCTTTTATGTGAATATAATCACTGTTTTTTAAAGCAATGTCCCATAATCAGTAAGATACAGTTCTCTAGTTTTTGTAAAAATTGAAATATTTCTTCTCTTGAAGATCATTACAAATATGATTAACAAAGTAACACATCATTGAGTAATTGATAATTTTTTTCATAAAATATTTGTGCAGAGCGGGCCCCGTTTATGTAATTTTTTGTACATTTTTACCAGGTTTTTTTACCATTTTAATAATAATAATAATAAATTTCTGTTTTTAATTTTAGGATTTTTTCTTAAAATATACTAAATAAATCTAAAAATCACAAAAAAATCTTCATATCTCCATTTTTTTCAAAATGAAAAGTCGCAAGTAGTCAGATACCTTAATATAGAATGTGTACAAAATGTGTGTTAAATCTGTCCAAGCTCAGATTTTTCATATTGCAGGAATGAGGAAGTTTAGAAAGTGTGGTACCCTCTCAAGTGGCATCACTATCTCATGATTATAATTCAAAACTGCGAAGTTCATTGTGTGGAATTGGTTAAAATAAATAAAAACTCTGATAAAATGAATATGAGTACAGATTATTATCACTAAGCCTTTTGGATTCAATTTCAATAATTACTTTTAGTGCAGAAGAATATTATAAATTTGTATGGAAATTTATTTAGATTACCAGCTTTCTTTATGCTTCATTTTTTTATCTGTATATCACTGTTAACTTTACTAATTCATTTGTAAACACTTTCAGGATTCACTTTCTTTATATGAAGAAAATATGTAGTTCTTCCTTTATTCGGGGTTTCGTTTTTTAAGAAAGAAAATTTTTTAATGTTTGTTTGCTAACTGTTATATGTTTGTTTGCTAATTTAGTATTTAAAAATAATTCAAGTCTTAAAGAAATGAAATTCTCTTTATACATATAGAAGGTAACTTATAAACATAATAATATGATTGTTAAGAATAAAGAAAAACATTTGGATTTATATATGAATACGAGGATTAAAAAAAATAAATAATGCATTACTATTAATGCAATCATATAAGATGGAGGTAGTTAAAATGTCTTAAATAAGTAAATATTATTTAAAATCAAGCTATTTATTCTTTTTCTTAGCTAAATATTTTAGATAAATAATTTTTTTTTAAATTATACAACAAAGCAAATAGGATGATATATTTCTTATAAGTGAAAGAGGAAAGAGAAAAAGAAGATATAAATGAAAGCAACAAAAGAAACAAAATTATTTTCGATTTAAGAGGTATAATTTAAATTTTATATATCAGCACTTCGAGACCTTAAAATGAATTCTGTTGAATTTTTTACATACATAAACACAGCTTTTATTTAATATTTACAAATATTTCTTCATATTAACTAAAATGAATGTTTTACTATCCGGAGAAATCATGGGACCTCTCAAAGATGTTATAAACTATTCATTTCCTACATTGGTTCCTGCGTTTTACCATTCCCAAGTCTGTTTGGACTCCATACCATTAAGGTTCGGATGTAATGGAACTCATGTAGAAAGACATAAAGGCGATGTAATGATACTTCGGGGTGCAAAGTATCCATCAGAGGTTACTTAGAGCTTATGGCAAACGGCGTATCGGTGATATTGAGTAGATCGACAGAACGAATAGCTTAGCTTTTCATAGTGAAATGGAATTAGACAAAAATTTTAATGTATTAAATTTAAAAGTGATCAAATTATTGTTTCATAAACAAAAAAGAAATAATTGTATGGATGGAAAATTATAGGAAATCATAAAGTATTTAAAATGACTTCAGACCTCGTTTAATTTCATTAGATCAGTGAACAAGAAATGTAGAATTTTTAACTAAAAGAATAAAACTGCACAATTTGTTTCAAAACATGTTTACATAATCAACATATGCTCCACTTGCTTCGATACATTTTCCCCTACGAGATTTAATTCAATGTACATATGCCTCTTTAACGGAAATTGTAATCTTTAGAAACAATACACTGAGAAGAGGAATTTTTCAGACAGTCTTCATTTTCAAACTATTTAGTCCTTAAAAACTGTTTTAAGAGTTTAAAATATTTAAAGTAAGTTTTTGAAAGATTCAATGAATAACTAGTATGATGCGAAATTCCGTGTTTTAATTCATTTTATTTCAAAATAGTTTTGTATGACGTATACGGTTGACCATTGTCGTAGATAAATTTTCGCCCATATCGAATATTAAGTGATGAGCGTATTACTTCCTATTTTTCATGTATTTCTTCAATATTTTCATTTAAAACAAGATCAAGTGACGAAGTCTACACTTGAGCTGGCACCCTATACTCCTAACCTACACACACACCACTCCACGGGAAGGACTTCGGAGCTTGACATATTTAACGTATCACATGACAAGCTTTTGGTTGTACAAGGATTTTAGCCCAAATTTTGATAAAATTATTGCTGGGAAAGATTTCGCGATCATGGCCACTTAATTGCCGCGCTTCTTCTTGATTTGATAACAATTTCAAAATAAGAATAGGTTGAAGGGACAATATACTTTAATATTCTCCAAAACAACAGTGCCATGTAATGTGTTATAAATTGATAATCTTAAGTATAGTATGGTAACTTGAAAATCTATTTCAGAAATAATTGGATTTTGGAAACTATAACCTAATTGGAACTAACGCACTGAAACCGCTATTATAATAAAGTAAATTGTTATTACTTCTACTTAGCAAATATACGTAGAAAATAAATTTTACCAATCATACATTACAAATTTTTTAAATAATCGCTCACAAATTAAGATTTTAAATTATTTCATTTCATCTAGATTTAAAGTCATTGGATGTATTATTAAAATACTTAAATCTTAGAAATATATACCGATATTTCGGTATTTAAATTTTCAAATAAATTTAATTAGTGAGTACGGTCTATTATGTATAAGAGTGTAGTTAAGTGTTTTATTGTTCATTTGCCCCCTTTCGTAATCAATACTAACTTCAGAAGAATTTTTTAGAAGAGTGTATTTCACATGAGTATTGCATTTGTCTATAAGTTAATAAAAAAACTACATATTTTTTAAATAGATAAAATAAATATTAAAATTAACGTGTTTCTCTATCTCTCTTTTAATTCAGATAATCTATTATGGAATTAAAAATGTTACTTAATGAAAACCCTTTAAATAACAAAAAATAAACTTCATAGCAATAAAGGCATAGTTAATATTTGTTTCATTACAAAAATATTCGATATTAATTTGTACTCTTGAGTAATTTTCTGAAAAAGTTTGGGTATTTCATTACTTTTAAAATGAAAAATTTCAAAAAATTAAAAAAGAAAACACGAATAATTCTTAGAAATTTTCAATTTGTTTTGTCACCTGTATTATATTATACAGGGAAAATAGAATAGATTTTGGGCTGTAAAAAACATTATGCAATCTTGCGAATCACATTTATTCGAAGCATAGGTAAAATGTATGTAATAACAAATTTTATTGTGATTTTTTTAAAA